AGAGGAGAGGAGAGGAAGGGCTGAGTTGCCCAATTGGAACTGGCCAGCTGGGTCCCCATTTAGGCAGCTTGGACTACTCACAGGTGGTTGTTTGTCATTCATTCTTGAGGAGAACCATGACATCAGGGAGATGATGACATGACACCCAATTGACTTTGATTTGAGTGAGGGAGGGCTGTGCAAAGTCACCAGCCTCACTTTCTCCTCCAGAGCCATCTGGGTCCAGTGGCCAGATATCAATCAGGATGAGTGGAGATGGCCCAGGATGCAGTGGGAGACTTTGGCCCTTTTGAGCTAAGGTCTATTCAGGTTCTCACTTTGAGTGAGACAATTCTCATTCAGTGAATAGGCCTCTTTAAGAAATGAGTCAAGGGATGGCCCCTTTAAAAAAAAATCAAACTGGAAAGGGAAGACCCTCAGGGTCTTTAGAACCAATAGGAGGAACCACAAGAAAGAAGAAGCAAAACAAAGCAGATTAAAAAAAAGAGCAAATAGTATGCTTCGATTGCAGTTATTTTTCTTAATTAGCAACGTGCAGGGATGGATTTGTTCTGTGAAGTTTGGATTCAGTCAAAGGGGTGCACTTGAGGACCTAGAGGCTATGGCCTTGAGGCTGCAGGTTCCCCACCCCTGAAGCCTATCCCTTTGACCACTAGGGCAGGGTCTCAGATCAATCACAACACAACAGCATTCACCTTACGATAGCTTACCCATATTATAGATAAAATAACGAGGAGGAAATAAACAGCTTTTTGAGACCAGATCTTGAATACCTAAACTTTTGTAACAAATATTGTTGGCATGGTAAATAGGAGGACCTAGTGGAACCATGGGAAACCAAAGAACTTGTTGCACTGCTATTTCAGTATGCAGATGTGGGCTTTAGCCAGGATATCTGGGAAATAAGGATTTACTAATGCTGGTGGAGATATGACTGGTCCTAACACTATTGCCTTTGGGTAGAATTGCTTTATTGTTATAGATAAGGATAATCTAAAAAGCCTTTGGTTAGTAAGAATGGGTATAGCTTCAGATTTGTATATGTGCTTGCCTCTTGTTTCTGAGAAATTTTGTATGGGTGTGCTTGAAAAGTAAATCTGTGTTGAGATGGTAGTCTAGGCTGCATGCCTATGAAAGTGATTGATCTGAGACTCTGCCCTTATTTTTATGACAGCCCCAGATATTGCACCTGTAAGTTGACATACTATCTATAGAGACTTTTCATTTACTATATGAAGTAAAACTTGTCTCATGATAATAACCATTGGAGTCCTTACTATCCCCATGGAACTTGGATTTGCATATTAGACAATCTCTAGTCAGAATATTTCAAAGACTGCTATTAAAGGAAAGCAAAACTTTAAATTTGTAATAATCATAAAAGTGGCATTAGAAAGACAGAGGCCAGGAAACCTGAATTCTAGAAACTGATCTTACACTTGCTGCATGACCTTGGAAAAGTCATTCTCCTTGTTTTGGCTTCAGTTTCTAGGTGATCTCCAAGCTGCTTTCCAAAACTCACATTCTGTGATTAGGGAGAGTAAAATGTTCCTAGTTAACAAATTTATGGCACCATATCAGAGACTCAGTATATGACAGAATATTTATGCAAGGCCCACAGTATGCACAACAGTATTCTAAGTAAGTGCCAAGGAGCACAAAATGAAATGTCAACCATAATATCTAGAATGAGTCCTGTGTAGACCTAGGCTGATGGTAAGACAGTGGGCATCAGTACTTAGAATACATGGTGTCCATGTAATGAGCAAATATGTAAAAAATGACATGGGTATAATGATATTTGTCATAATATTTTTTTCCAAAAGTATTTTTGGCACTGGATCAGTTTACATCATTGGGTTACATACATCTTGTCATTGTGTGCAACTTGTAATATGATATAAAACATTAAATTGACCAACCAATTAAAGTAATGTTGTCCTTTGGACAAGTGGACATACTTCTGTAATGACTAAGAGAAGCTCCATTTCCATGGGAATGTTTCTTGGCACCAGATACTTGGAGTGTTCTTATAACCAGTAAGCCAGAAAATGCAAGTTTCTGATAGACTAGAAAAGACCTGAAAACCAGCATTGAATTCCCTTCTGTCAGGTCTATTATAACAATGGCTTTATAATGATACTTACTACATAGATAAGGGGATCATATTTTATTCTTCCTTCAAAACTTAATTATAATAAGGTAACATACTTATCAGTGAGCAGCTAGTTCTACTCATTCTCAATTTATATTATAGTCTAGTGATTGAGGAAAGCACCTTTTTTCTTAACATTTTTTTGTCCAACACTGTGCCTGGCATATAGTAGGTACTTAATAAGTGTATTGATAGATAGACAAGCCTATAGAAATCTTTATATATTTAGAACCACTGAAATGTGTTGTTTGTGTATATTACCTAGCCCTGTAAGCTCCTGACAGGTAGGGACTGCTCTCTTTTTTCTCTTTGTATTCCCAGCACCTACTATGGTGCTGAGAACAGAGCACATGGAGGATGCATATTTGTTGAATTGGACTGTGGTAAAGATCAAGAAGTCAAGGCAAATTATTGTTACCATAAACCTGTTGTTGTTCAGTTGTTTCTGACTCTTCATCACTCCATTTGATATTTTCATGGCAAAGATACTGGAGTGGTCTGCTCTTTCCTTCTCTGGCTCATTTTACAGATGAGGAAACCAAGGCAAATAGCATTAAGTGACATACCCAGGGTCACACATCTAGTAAGTGTCTCAGGCTGGATTTGAGCGCAGTTCTTCCAGGACTGGCACTCTATCTACTATGCCACCTAGCTGCCTTTATTGGAAACCTACAGCTTCCTAAAACTTAACTGAAAATGTTCTGTCATTTTCAAACAGCAGCACAGAATAGTGAATAGAGAGCTGGCCTTGATGTCAGAAAGATCTGGGTTCAGGTTTTGCCTCTGGTGCATATTGACTATAACTTTGAGCAAATGACTGCCCACTGCTCTAGGCACCTAACATCTTAAATGGTAGAGGTGGTGCTGATCCGCACTGGTAAAAGATGTTCCTTCTCTATGCGTTCCTTATACCAACAAAACCATAGGTCCAGTCACTTTCCAAGTTTATAAACTGTGTTGTCAGAGATCAGAGAATTCCAGCAAATGGAGACTGATAGGTGTCTTCTAAAAACTGTTGTTGCACAAGGATTGAAAAAACTTATAGATTTTTTTCTATTTAAATTTCCCCAAAATTGTTTACTTCTGACTATGTACATTCAATATGACATTATCTGAAATTAAAGGCAGTCACAGTACCATCAGTAGGCATGGGACATTTGTGTCCTTTAAAATACAAATGTCCCCTATTGGGTCAAACACTGTCTCAGAGGTTTGAGTATTACCTGAAGAAAAAAGAGGATATCTCAACAGAATCCTGCTCAGAAACTCTAAGCCTCACTTTCAATGCCCTAATGCTTTTGTTCACTAAAATTCTTACTCTTCTTTTTTGCCTTTTTTGAGGGACTTTTAAAAATTGATGCCTTTTGGTTTTGTATCACATTCATTTCTGAAGGTGTCTCTTCTCATGCTCTTACCCAAAGAACCCTCCCTTGTAATGAAAACTTAAAAAGAAGGGAAAAAAACAGGTCAGCAAAACTGTCTGGTACATCATCAATGTCTGACAATCTATCCATAGTTCCTCACCTCTGCAACGAAGAGAGGAATATGTATTTTCTCAATCCTTATTTGGGGCCAAGCTTGATCGTTAAAATTATATGAAATTCAATTTTGTTTTATTGTTCTTTCGTTAAATTATTATAGTCCTATATGTTATTTTCCTGTTTCTGCTTACTTCACTCTGCTTCAGTTCATAGAAACTTTCCTTAATTTTTTTTCCTGATTTCTTCAAATTTGTTATGTCTTAGGGCACAGTAATAGTTCATTGCATTAACATAACATGATCTGTTAATCCATTCTCCAGTCAGTGGTATCTACTCAGTTTTCAATTCTTTGCTACCATAAAAAATGTTGCAATGAATATTTTGGGGTATATGGGAACTTTCTTTTGTCTTTGATCTCCTTGGGGCATATGCCAAGCATTTAGGCCTCTATGTCAAAGGGTATGCACATTTCAGTTACCTTTATAGTATAATTTCAAATTATTTTCCAGAGTGATTGGACTATCTCACAGCTCCACCAACAGTATATTTAGCATGGTGGTCTTTCTGCCTTGAAAATTTCCATCTTTTGTCATCTTTGTTTGCTGGGTATGAGGTGAAATCTCAGGGTTGTTTTGATTTGTGTTTCTCTTCTTATTAGTGATTTGGAGCAATATTCCATATTAATGTTAATAGTTTGCAATTGTTCTTTTGAACAATTGCAATTGTCTATTCATATCCATTGAACAATTATGCATTGAGAAATTGTTCTTGGTAATATGTACATACACACACACACACACACACACATTAATTTAATTTCCTAAATATCTTTTCAACCCCCCCTTTTTTCCAAACTTCTTTCTAGTTTTGCCAAAAGTTCCTGTCAAATAGGAAGTTCTTTCCCAAGTAATTTATGTTTTCTAGTTTATCTATCACTGGGTTACTGTTTTTAGTTATTTACTTTATTTGGTTTAGTTATTTACTATATTTAGTAATTTACTATTTACTTATCTAGTTATTCCACTGATTTACTTTTAAAACATTTTTCCAACTACTAATTGGTTTTGATGATTACTGCTTTTAATATAATTTGAAGTCTAGAAGTTAACTGTTGTCCCTCAATTCCTACTTTTTTCACATGAATTCCCTTGAGTGTCTAGATATTTTGTTCTTCCAAATGGATTTTCTTGTCATTTTGTATAGTTCTGTAAGGTATCCTGTTGATAGTTTGATATAGCACAAAATCTGTCTATTATTTTAGGTAGCATACTCATTTTTATTATATTTATGTGACTCAATCATGAGCAACAAATCTAATGTTAGTCTTTTGTGATATATAGTTTACTTGTGTGGCTGTTTTTCAGGGTGAAGATGGTTTACTTGGTGCCCCTGGACCACCTGGTCAAAAGGTAAAAATAATTTTTGAATATTCTATTTTTTAACCATCATTAGCATTTAAAGTTAGAACAAGATTATTTTGAACTACATTTAACATAATGGAATCTCTTCAAAAGTCCCTGTAGAAACCCACACACTTTCATATCTTCTTTCCAAATAGACATGTTAAAAGGACTCACTCTCAAAAGGACATACCCTAAACACTTCTTCCATCAGTAATTTTTAATAATGCTCCTTTTTGTAGAACACTATAATGGTACAATCATTGTCCCATAGGGATAAATTTATTAGCTTTAGAACTGCTCTATACCTTTAATGAACCCAGAAGTTCAACAACCAGAGATTTAAATTCATTCTGGAATCTAACATTTTCCTAACCATGTTCCTATATATTTGATTATCTGAAACCAGCTTCCATTTTGAAAATTTCTATCAGAACAAACTCAGTACAATGGTGCTAAATGAATAAACTACTTCAAAAATCTCAAAGAAGGTATAGAAAATGAACCCCTTCATGTACATTCTCCAAGAAATAAGAGATTTGTAATCTTGATTTTGAATGAATGAAAAAAGCATTTATTAGCTACTTACTATGTGCAAAACTCCATGTTAAGTCCTGGGGAAACAAATAGAAAAGTAATACAGTTCCTGTTCTCAAGAAGCTCACATTCTGATAGAGGCCACACAAATGATTTGCAATATTCAGCTTCAGGTCAAATGGAGAGGTTTCATGGTCCTTAGGGTACAGCAGCAAAACAGATGGTAACACTTCTCATTTAATGTCATTTCCACTGAAAAAAGAACCTCTCAGTTTGTGATGTTGAACCATTTGACAAGGCCAAGATCTTTGGTGGTAAGATCTTTCTTTCCTGGGTCTTTAGTACCTATGACTGTAGCACTTGAAGAAGCAGTTGCCAGGCTGCATCTCCACGAGTGTTGAGGAAGGTTACAGCATTAACTGGATAACTGAAGCTACTTATCCATATTTTATTTTATGAGAACCTCTGTCTTTTAACTAGATTTAGCTATTTCCTAAGGGATGATGTAGGTTTGGGGGAAAGAGCATTATTATATCTGACTTGAATTACTAGAAACTCTGTGAAGGCTTTATTCTGATAGCCAAGAAAAAAAGATAGGTAAGGTACTTCTCATTATACCTGCTGTCATACCATTGCACAAACCACACCATGGCAGGGAAGAACATTATTGATGGAGTGTGAAGTGTCCACAAGAGCTAAGGGAACAGTTTCCGGGATCCAGATAAGTTTCACAGTCTCTTCACTAATATGCCAGAAGTGCTATAAGTTGTCATTTTGAAAAGGTCCTTAGCCACTTACTGTTATGGCTTTTTTCCCCAATCAAACACATCTGTCATTAGACATGACTGAGTATGACAAACCCAGAAATGGCAAGCATAAAATGAGAGGGCTGTGAATTTCCTCACAGTATTTCTTGACGAAATCATTCATTGATACAGCAAGTGCTGTAGCCAAGAGTCAAATTCCAAGCCAAGGGACATGTAGATTTATCTGCTGGGAAATAACTTTGGACTTTCCAGCAGCTGTTTCTGGTGGCTACATCATGCTGACTGGAGTGGCTGAGGTGCTGGAGGCATTAAGTAGCTTAAATGTCAGCTTACATTAAGTGGTGAGGTTAAAGTCTGTATTCCAGGAATAAAAAGTAGATTTCTGTCTCCTGAAACAAAATGCTAAACCTTCACCCACTTTCTACCTTTTGAAGGGTAGATCTAACAGATTATTTTTTTAATACATTTCTTATCCATCTTATAATTTTCATTATACCAAGTAACATCTTCTCAAAGATCTAGGGGGAAAAAGTGGAAAGGAAGAAGTTTTTCTTTCTCTTCTTTTATTTGGTGATTCTTTCATCAAATATTTATTGACTGTCTACCAGGTGTTTTAGCACTGGACTTCTTCCTATAGGCTATCCCTGCCCTTGACACACATATAAATATCTAGTAGGATTATAGAATGGTTATTATGCTCAGTAGTTTTGGCAAAGAAAAAGAGTTTTCATCTTTTAATTCAATTCAGTACTAGCTGTGTGATGTGGGCAAGTCCCTTAACCTCTTTTTGCCTCAGGTTTTTTTTTTTCTGTAAAATGGGGGTAATAATAGCACCTATTTCCCAAGGTGGTTGTGAGGATGAAATGAGATAATAATTGTAAAATGCTTAGCACAGTGCCTGATACATAGTAAGTACTATATAAAAGTAAGATAACATTATTATTATTACTCAAGTAATAACTATTTATTAAGTGTTGACCATATGCTGTGCATTAAAGATACACAATACAGTCTTTGATGGGTCACCAGTGATGAGCGCTGCTACATCATGTCAACAAGGTGCATATCCTTCATCAAAGAGCCAGACTACCTGTCCTTCTCTAGGGATCACCCCCATTACATAGTATAGATTTTGTTACATTAGAGTCTCCTTGAGTGATGATGAGGATCAGTCAAGTTTTGAGGGGAAGATTTCCACCATAGACATGAAGAATATGAAGTCTAGTGGAATATCAAGGTAATAATAGCTAGCAAATATGGAGTTGGTGTGGAATCTCTAGAGAATTCTACTATGGGACGGATTCTCCTTTTGCTCTTACCAACTTTTCTCATGAGAAACCCTAATTGTGCTTTAGTTGAATGAAACTGTCACATTTGAACTTATTGTATCTGTAAATTAAAAATACTAAGTCATTAAAAAACTATATTACCAAAACATTTATACATGCCATATATACACGTTTATCTCTATATCTATCTATCTATGTAAGACAGAGAGAGAGAGAGAGAGGGAGGGAGGGAGGGAGGGGAACAGAGAGAGGGAGAGTGAGTATCATGCTTCTGTGCTTTATGAAGATGTGCAGGCAACCTTGAGCTTTTGAAGACCATACCATGTCCTACAAAGCTGGAAATTTTTGGAACGTAAGCCTACAGACATATTTATTTTAAGTCTCATCTGAAGATGAGGCTGGCCAAGTTAGAACAAGCTCATCACACAAAACTGGTCACCAGGTGATTAATTTTCTGGCCCCAGCAATTCATGAAAGCAATCTACTAAGGTTTGAAAGGGTTCCTGTCTATATCAGAAAAAAAAAGCACCCACACCTGTGAAACTATTCATATCTGTTAAACTAGATTGAATTTAATTTTTTCAAGTTTTAAAGCAGTATTGTTATATGTGCTACATTTCTATACAACAGGGAGAACATGGTTTTGAAGGAAGAAAAGGAGAAGTTGGTGAGAAGGTAAGGCTTTTTTAAAAAGAAACTTTAATAATAAGTATTTGTATATTATATAGGTTATTTTTAACCCTCAAAATAAACCATTTCATTTGTATTCTGCTTTTCATATAAAACTGTCTGATTAATTGTTCAGTGATAACAAAAATATGACTCCAATTAAGTTAGACCAATTCCAGTCTTAAAAGATTGTAGTAGATAGTTTATCTTGCTTTGAATGATATTCTGTACTTGTACAAAAATATGCTAAATATTGATTGATTCCATTTACAAAACATCCTCCATGGTTTTGTGTACACTGCATGTATCTTTTATGTGCATGACTCTTTGCTTGTTGTCTTTTCCATTAGGTTGTAAACTCCTTGAGGGTAGGAGCCATGTTGTTGCCTTTCTTTGTATCCCCAAGGCCTTTAGCACAGTACTTAGCACACTTTTGTTGTTCAGTTGTTCAATGATGTCCAACTCTTTGTGACCCCATGGACCATAACCTGCCAATACTATCCAGGGGATTTTCTTGACAAAGATACTAGAGTAGTTTGCCATTTCCTTCTCCAGTGGATTAAGGCAAACAGAAGTTAAGTGACTTGCCCAGGATCACACAGCTAGTAAATGTCTGAGGCCAGATTTAAACTCAGATCTTCCTGACTCCAGGCCCAGCACTCTATCCACTGAGCCACCTAGCTGCCACCATTAAGCACACAGTAAGTGGTTAATAAATGCTTCTTGTTGTGGATGATGATGATGATGATTGTTAACACGCTGGTCTGATATTATTGCTGATCTATTAAATGAACTCTAGCAGTTCAAAAATCAAACATAAACTCCCCTATTTGACATTTAAAGCTCTTCATAACCTAATTCCAAACTACCTTCATAGGCTTATATATTACTGTAAGCATTCTATAATTCAGCTGAATTGGTTTTCTTGATAATCCTTGCAGACAACATTCAATTTTTCTCCATGGCTTTACTCAGGCTATGCTTCATGCTTAGAATGCACTCTTTCCTCACCTCTGTCTCTTAGAATTCTTAAGTTCCTTCAAAGCTTCCAATGTCAACTGAGACATGAGTCCTCTCCTAATCCCCCCAGATGCTAGTGCCTTTCTGCCCAGAGTACCTTGTATTTGTTTTGTATCTACTTATATATGTATATATTTTCTCCCTGATAGAATGTAAGCCCCTTGAGGGCAGAGACTATTTCATTTTATTCTTTGTATCCCCAGCACCTAGTAGAATGAATGAAACACAGTAGGTGCTTAATAAATGCTTGCTGATTGATATAGTGTTCATAACAATGTATTTCCTAACAATGATTGTTTCATATAACAATACACATATTGTCATTAGAAGCAGTTAATTACAATGGTCATTGTGAATATGCTGGTAATTTATTCTGAAAATGTTTACTATCAATGACTTGACAATTGCGAGTCGTTGACAATACATCTTTTTAAAACTGAATTTATATCTATGTACAACAAATTCATAGCTGTCCAGTCTTTGTGCTTAGACATTATTTTTCATTGTTCCATAAGACTTACTAAACAGAAAACACAGAAACATGAGCTGGTTTGAGTTTTGCCTTCTTTGCCTTGCTCCTCTTTTCCTGCTTTCCTACACCAATGACAGGCGTATGCCTCTTGATGGAGGAACAGGAATTGGAATGTATAATTCAAGAATGGACTCATCTGTCTTAAATAAGCTATATTTATTATTAATAAATAAAAAAAATCACATTTATATACTGCTTTGAAGTTTACCAGTTTCCTGACTATAATCGAGGCTTTCCCACAACAAATATCAGAGCCAGAATTCTAATCCAGAACTCTGGACTCTGAAGTTCAGTGCACTTCCACTATGAAGTGCTGACTGTGTATACTTAAATTTCTTGGTATCCATTAGCAATTTGCTTCCCCAATGGCTCTTCTATGTAATGCCTGAACATGTATTATAATTACAAGGTAAGCAACTTAGGTAAGCTCCGTGGTAATTACTTTTAGATTTATTAAGTGCAGCAAACATCTGTAAGAAATTGTGATAGCTGCATAATTTATGAGCACTCCATTAAATGATGCCTGTTTTAAATGAGCTACTTTTTTTTTAATGGGTCACTTTGCTGAGGGAGCCTTATATTTCTGTACTAGAACTCCCTTGATTCCAAGCACAGAATTTAAGTAAAAAGCTTTTCTTTCTTATGTTTCTGATTTATCAGTGTGTTTTGCCTGTATTAAACAACATCAGAATAAATAAAAAGAATCGACAGAGTCTCAGTAATTTAAAGAGGCACCAAATCATTAAACCCATGTCTAGGTAGCTCTTTTTGTGTTTTATGTGCACATTTGGTTTCACGAGGTAATAACCTACTCCTGGGCAAACAAAACAAGGGATCTTTAGTTTGCAAATCTCCGTCCAGGTTCGCCATATCTATTTTTGTATAGGATAAATGACAGTGTATATGGTTTGGCTCATATTCCAAAACTTAGCTTTACTGGGAGGTGAAAAGTGTTTATGGAGGTGATCAGAAGGAAATGAGGCATCAAAGATTAAAGACAATTTTGTCATAATTCAAGACAATAATAGTTTGTAGCCAGATACATGATTCCTATTGCAATTCTTAAACTTCAAAAAGGCACCACCCTAGGAAACTAGAGTGATTTTCTAATTATATGAAAAACCTCTTTTTTCCTTTTGATTTGCTATTATGTGTTAATTGGAAAATTTTGATGTTTCCAATCAATTTATTAAGATAAAGTCAAATCAAGTCAATAAGCATTTATTAAATACCCACAATATTCTAATCAAGACACTATGCTAAGACCAGGATAAAGGTGATAAACTAGCTATAAGAAAATTGATACTTTTTCTTTCCTTAGAAATTTAAAGTGTGATAGGTATGCTAATCACATATTATTGGGTAACTTTAAGAAAGAGAAACTCAAAGTGCTTACAATATACCTTTTTCCAAACAAAGATAATACAAATTTGATTTTCCAATCTTTGTATGAAAAAATCCATGAACCTTGTATACAATTTTAAAGTGATCGGACTTTCTCCTTTGTCCTTCATTTTATTACTCATCTTTGAATCATTTTAGTAGTGTTTAAAACCAACTATTATTCTAAGTGCTCCAATATGTGAATTATAAAATAAAATTGTTCTAGGAAATTTTATGTATGAAGCTATCATATCCTTTAGTCTGAAACCAAAATCAACTCAAATATCAAAAATACCAGCTATACAAAAACATTAAAATATATTACTATAAAAACCATATTTCTTAAAGTGATCTTGAATAAAGGCCAAATGGAGGAATGTCTTGCTTTCATAGAATCCAAATGAATGTAGAAAGCAACATTACAGCCCTGTTTTTCTACTTGATTGGTTTCCCATAGAAGCGTCATTGTCATTCTTTGTCCAAGAATGAGCCCAAGGAACTTGCCACATGATAATAATGATCTCATTTACAGTTGTGAAGTTACAGATGTGAAACATTGGCACTCAGTAACAATTGCAGATATTCAACAAATTAAAGATAAAACCCACAATTCTGTCAAATTAGCACTTAGGTGAGAGGTAGGATAGAAGAAAAACAGACCTACTAACATTTTAACTTGCAGTTGTTTTTATGAAATGCACACACACACGGGTCCACATGCACACACCCTACACACCCCCCTAGCTATTTCTCTTGACAACAAATCCAGGTTTAAAAAATAATTCAGTTTCACTGTGTAACAGTTACCTTGGAAATAAGAGAGGTTATGGCACACCCTTGCCCCAAATTTGTCAAGCAGAGTATATAATTATCCACCCAAAGACCAGTAGATTAAACAAACAAACAAAAAAACAGCAGGGAACTGGACACTTTCACTGCCTTATAGCACCATGTTATATCCTGAATTTTTTATCTTTGTCATTGTGGTACAATATCTCTTTTTTATTTTTTACTGCCTTTAGGTCTCTTCCAGGTTATGGTTACTATGAGGGAAAGACCAGAGGCAACCTTTTATGGGGGCTTACTGTTGAATGATGTAGTGAGGGGTAGGGAACCTGTGGCCTCAAGGTCACATGTGGCCCTCTAGGTCCTCAAGTGCTGCCCTTTGACTGAATCCAAACTTCAATGAACAAATCCCCTTAACAAAAGGATTTGTTCTGTAAAACTCGGACTCAGTTAAAGGGCTTCACTCAAGGACCTAGAAGGTCACAAGTGGCCTCGGGCCATAGGTGCCCCATCCTTGATAGCTTCTCAGTTCAGCAATATTGTTGTTCTTGAAAAGGACCAATGACCTCGGGAGGGTGATGTCTTGACTTGCAAATGAATTGGATTTAGGTGAGGCAGAGCTTCAGGAATATAATGCTAAAGGATGAGAAGAGTTCTTTTTCGTTAATGGCCATTTGTCAGTTATTTTATGAACCAAGTATTTATCTGGGTCAAATTTACAGTTTATGTACTTTAGGAAAAACATTAGATCTATAGGGTTTTTTTTAATATTAAGAGGGAGGCATTAATATGAAGGGAAAAAAAGCAAATATCAGCAGCATTATAAAACCTATTTTGTGAAGTAGTTGCTTCAAATCTTGCTAAAATTCTAATTTTTAAAGTGGGGTTTCAGAAGATCATAGCTTTTTAGGATTGAAAGGAACCAATTTTCTGTTTTCCTTCTGATCTTGGCTACATTTGTTTTATTTGTACAAAAACTTTTTAATTTAGTGTATTTGAAATTATCCATTTTATACCTCTTTGCTTTCTATCTATTATTTATTTATAAATTGTTAGCCTTTCCATAAATCTAATAAGTAATATGTTCCATGTTCTTCTAATTTTTTTTGTAATATCTCTCTTTATATCTAGGTCATTTATCCATTTTCACTTTATCTTAGAAAATGGTGTGAGATATTAGTCTATGCCCAGTTTCTGCCATACTGCTTTCCAATTTTCCCACCATTTTTTTTGGGGGTTAGGCAATGGAAGTAAGTGACTTGCCCAGGGTCACACAGCTAGTAAG